GAGGCAGAGTTTCACTGACTCTGTCACCCAGGCTGGAGTGTAGTGGTGTGTAACCTCCGCCTCCCAGGTTCAAGCAATTCTCCTGCCTCGGCCTCCCAAGTAGCTGGGATTACAGGTGCCAGCCATCACGCCTGGCTAAGTTTTGTATTTTTGGCAGAGACAGGGTTTTGCCATGTTGGCGAGGCTGGTCTCGAACTCCTGACCTCATGTGATCCACTCACCTTGGCCTCCCAGCGTGCTGGGATTATAGGCATGAGCCACCGTACCTGGCCACAGTTTTCATTTCTAAGACAGCAAATATCCATATAAACCACCCACGTAAACAAAAGCACTTTGGAGTCCTCAATAATTTTCAAGAGCATAAAGGGATCCAGAGGCCGGATGCCATGGCTCATGCCTGTAATCCCAGCACTCTGGGAGGCCGAGGAGGGTGGATCACTTGAGGTCAGGAGTTCAAGACCAGCCTGGCCAACATGGTGGAATCCCTGATCTGTACAAAAACTAAAAAAATAAGCTGGCACGGTGGTGGGCACCTGCAGTCCCAGCTACTTGGGAGGCTGAGGCAGGAAAACCACTTGAACCTGGAAGGCGGAGGTTGCAGTGAGCTGAGATCACACCATTGCACTCCAGCCTGGGCAACACAGCCTGGGCAACCGTCTCAAAAAAAAGGAAAAGGAATCCAGAGACCAAAAAGTTTGAGACTGCAAGGGCGGCTGTGAGACAAAATGAGATGACACCTCTGAAGGGCTGGTCACACCCAGTGCCTGGCCTAAGATGAGAACGGATCATGACACTGTTCTTACGGTCTAGAAAATGAGTCCTGCCCAGGCCGGGCGCGGTGGCTCACGCCTGTAATCCCGGCACTTTGGGAGGCCGAGGCGGGTGGATCACGAGGTCAGGAGATCAAGACCAGCCTGGGCAACACGGTGAAACCCCGTCTCTACTAAAACACAAAACATTAACTGGGCGTGGTGGCGGACACCTGTAGTCCCAGCTAGTCAGGAGGTTGAGTTAGGAGAATTGCTTGAACTCAGGAGGCAGATGTTGCAGTGAGCGGAGACTGTGCCACTGCACTCCAGCCTGGGCGAAAGAGCGAGACTCCGTCTCATTAAAAAAAAAAAAAAAAAAAAAAAAAAAGGGTCCTGCCTAATTAACACACTAGACCCCGGGACCTTCTTGGTCCTGCTTTCTGCACAGCTCCCAGCAGAGGGCGCGCGGCCCTCATGTCTGGAGCGCCCCTGCGCCGGCCCTGAGGTTCTGTCCCAGCTGACGCCTCGCTCCTTCCTCTGGAGAGGCTGAAGGTGGGGGGCGCTCCGTGGGACATGGCCGGAGCCCACGCAGCCTCTGGGTTAATGTAGAGCTCTGAGCCCTGTTGCTTTCCCCTCTAAAGATGCGGCTGTGCCACCTGGAGTCGGGGACCACGGTGGAGGCCGCCACGGTGGCTAAGAGCAAAACACAGCTGGGCGCGAAGGCCCATAATCCCAGCACTTCGGGAAGCAGAGGTGGGCGGATCACTTGAGTTCAGGAGTTCTAGACCAGCCTGGGCAACATGGTAAGACCCTGTCTCTACAAAGAAAAAATACAAAAATTAGCTGGGCATGGTGATGCATGCCTGTAGTCCCAGCACTTTGGGAGGCAGAGGTGGGCAGATCACTTGAGCCCAGGAGATTGAGACCAGCCTGGGAAACATGGCAAAACTCTGTTTCTACAAAAAAAATGTAAAAATTAGCCAGCATGGTGGTGCACACCTGTGGTCCCAGCTACTCAGGAGGCTGAGGGGGGAGGATCATGTGAACCCAGGGAGGTGGGGGCTGCATCGAGCGTGTGTGATTGCACCACGCTACTCCAGCCTGAGTGACAGAGCGAGACCCCGTCTCAAAAAAGGAGCAAAACTTGGGAGCTGACGAACGCAGCGCTCACAACTAAGTTGTGTGACCTCAGGCAAGTGGCCTACCTTGTGTGGGTCTCAGCTACTTCATCTGTAAAAGCAGAATGAGAGTCCTTGCATGTAAGGAGCTCAGCACAGTGCCTGGCATACAGCAGGTGCTCAATAAGTGGAGGCCAGGAGACTGAGCCTGAATCCCCAGTGTTTAGATACAGCCAGGGAGGCCAGTCTCAACAGGATGAGTGGAAATTCCCCTATGGGATCCAAGGAGGGTCACGTACCCGGCCCCCACCCCCACCAGGAGTATAAAGAGAAGAGTCAGGGACTGGGGAGGGAGCTGGGCCGCAGGTGGGCCCTGGGGAGCAGGCCCCTCACACTCAACCCCACCTGGGCTTTGCAGGCCCGTGGCTCCTCTCCAAGATGGGGGATCCACCAAGGCAGGATCTGCCCAGAGTGGGACTGCCTGTCACTAGGCTGGGAGCAGACCCTGGGGAGGCATGTGCAGGGGGCACCTCTTACCCTGGTGGAAATCGGTGAGGATGTGATGCACCTGGAACTGGGCAGCGGCCGTGCACACCTTGGAGTGGCCGTAGCAGAAGCAGCTGCTGCAGCCGGCCGGGTTGTGGGGCTGCAGGCTAAAGGTCCCAGGGCGACATCTGAAATGGAGGCAGGACATGCCCATGAGGGCCACATGAATGGGCCAGGAAGGGGCGGGGCAGGGGTATCCCAGCTGGACCCATGAGAGTCTAGAATCACTGCAGACACTTAAAAACACATTCTTCTCAGGATTCTAGAAGAGTAGCGAGCACATTACAGATCGTTCCCACACCTGCTTCGGCAGCTTCCCATGATGCTGGGGTCTGACGTGGCCACAGCACATTTGTCAAAACTAAGTTAACTAAGCTCCAGCCTTATCAGGGTTTCTCCACTCTCGCCTCTAACATCCGGTTTCTGCTGCAGGATCCCATCCGGGACACGATGTCACTTGCAGTGGCATCCTCGTTCTCCCTCAACCTGTCACCGCTTCTCAGGCTTCCTTGTCTGCTGCTATCTTGACACTCTCTGAAAGGCCCTGACCAGGTATTTTTAGAACCCTGCGATGTGTGTGTGCTTGCCTGATGCTTTCTCATGATTAGACCAGGGCTGTAGGTTTGGGAAAGAAATACACAGAGGTGACGTGCCCTTCTTGTCATATCACATGGGGGCACAGGAAACCCACATGACATTCCGAGTGAGGACGGCCTTCATTGCCTGCTGGAGGTGCTGTCTCCCAGTCTTCTCCACTGGGCAATCGCCACATTCCGGTCATTAGGAGCAAGTCACTAAATAGGCTGGGCATGGTGGCTCACGCACTTTGGGAGGCTGAGGCGGGTGGATCACCTGAGGTCAGGAGTTTGAGATCAGCCTGGCCAACATGGAGAAACCCCGTCTCTACTAAAAATTCAAAAATTAGCCAGGCATGGTGGCGGGTACTTATAATCCCAGCTACTTAGGAGGCTGAGGCAAAAGAATCACTTGAACTCAGGAGGCAGAGGTTGCAGTGAGTTGAGATCTCACTGCTTCACTCCAGCCTGGGCGAAAGAAAGAAACTCCATCTCAAAAAACAAAAAAAACCCCACCAAAACAACAACTACAACAACAAAAAAGCAAGTCACTAAATGCAGCCCAGTCTCAAAAACAGGGATTAAGCTCGACCTCCTAGAGGGAGGAGTATCAAAGAACCCCTGGACAGATGTGAAAGCCGCCACAGTAATTAACTGATGTTTTGAGGCTATGCAAATATCCTCTCTCTCCTCAAAGTTCTGCCCACCAATGTCAGCATTCATCAGCAGCTCTCGCCTGTGGCAATTACTACTGTGAGGTCTGAACAGTGGCTTTCTAGTTCCCTCACTTCTTCTACATTCATTGCTAGGAATTCTTCCACAAGGAAGGTTCATCCCTTCATCCCCATCTATTTATGTATTAAATCATGTATTTACATCAGTATGGATTTGTGGATTTTACTTTATTCTCTGGGTTATAATCCAATACTGTCGTTCTTTATTTTGTTGCTCAAATTGTTTCAGCCCTGGGAGCTCTTTCAGGTTGGCTCCTGTGTCCTTTGTCCTTTTGATGGGGGCCCCCATTCTGGTTTGGGTTTTTTTGTGTCTTTCAGCCTTTCCTTGCTTTCTGAAGCTGTAAGATGCTTCAGGCTTATCTTGTCTTTTTCTAGCCCCAGGCCCAGAATCAGCCACTTCTCCAAGCAGCCCTGGGGAATGTCAGACACAAAGTCAGGAAGAAAAGGCAGTATGTACCCAAGGAACTAAACCCATGTTTGTCTGCTGGCCACACTGCTGGAGCTTGGAGGCCTCTTGAACACTTGAAAGAGGAAGTTTATGGGCCGGACGTGGTGACTCACGCCTGTAATCCCAGCACTTTGGGAGGCCAGGGCAGGCGGATCATGAGTTCAGGAGTTCGAGACCAGCCTGGCCAATGTGGTGAAACCCTGTCTCTACTAAAAATACAAAAATTAGCTGGGCGTGGTGGCGCGTGCTGTAGTCCCCATTACTTGGGAGGCTGAGGCAGAAAAATCACTTGAACCCAGGAGGTGGAGGTTACAGTGAGCTGAGATTGCGCCATTGCACTCTAGCCTGGGTGACAAGGCAAGACTCCAACTCAAAAAAAAGAAAAAAAAGAAAGAGGAAGTTTATGGACTTTGTGGCCTCGGGAGAGCCTCTTTGATTTGTAGAGCTTCAGATGCCCCATTTGTACCATGATCAGACTGCAAAGACGGCAAACAGGCTCAAATTCCAGCTCAATGGGTAGGGCCTTCCTGAAGCAGGGTGTTGAAAAGGATCTGAGGTTATAGTAAGGCTCATGGCTAAGACTGCTATGCTCCATTAGTGATGTCTGTTATAGGTGTGAAAGGGGAAGGTTGTGATAGTGCTCCCTTAGTCATGTCTGCTGTGAGTATGAAGGGAGAGGGTTGTGATAGTGCTCCCTTAGTGATGTTTTCCATGGGTATTCCATTAGTGATGTCTGCTGTGGCTGTGAAAGGGAAGGGTTGATAGTGCTCCATTAGTCATGTCTGCTGTGGCTGTGAAAGGGAAGGGTTGATAGTGCTGCATGAGTGATGTCTGCTGTGAGTGTGAAAAGGGAGGGCTGTGATAGTGCTCCATTAGTGATGTCTGGGTGTGAAAGAATTGTGATAGTGCTCCATTAGTGATATCTGTCACAGGTGTGAAAGGGGAGAGTTGATAATACTCCATGAGTGATGTCTGCTGTGGGTATAAAAAGGGAGAGCTGTGAGAGTGCTCCATTAGTGATGTCTGCCACAGCAGGTGGTAGTACGAGTGCCACGCCCACCATGTATTTTCTATCCCTGGTTTAGGTGGTCTCTCCTATCCTTTCCAGCTCTTCCTTTTCAGGATTCTAAGCCAAGACATTTTTTCTTTCTAAGACGTATTTTCTCAGCTTATGAATGATCAGTTGCATTGGGTCAAAGGATAAACAGTGCCATAAAACCTTTGAGTAACTTCCTGTATGGCAGATTCACGGTGCTCCAGGAAGGGCACAGGGTGACAAGGTCACCCAAGTCCATGAAGACTGTGCCCCTTGCTCCTCCCCGCACTCCACAGCTTTGGAGCCTCATCAGTGAGCCCCAGGTCACCTGCAGCAACCTCACACACCTGTCACACAGGTTGCCTTCCACATTCTCTTTGCAGGGGCAGCGGCCACTGTGGGGGTCACAGGTGTCGAGGCTGCCAGCGGGATTGCAGGTGCAGGGTCTGCCAAAGAGAAAGGACAAGGGGAAAATGCAACGAGCAGCTTCAGAATGGGAACAGCCCATCCTAGGAAGAAATATCCCTACCATTCCCTGCTCCCAACATCAGGAGTGAGGCTGACACAGGAGCCTGCCCCGGCTTTACTGTTCCCATCTTGCCAAGAAAGTGACCCATCCATCAGAGATACTGGGCATGGTGGCGCACACTTGTAATCCCAGCTACTCGAGAGGCTGAGGCAGAGAATTGCTTGAAACTGGGAGGCGGAGGTTGCAGTGAGCCAAGATCAGGCCACTGCATTCCAGCTTGGATGACAGAGCAAGACTCTGTCTCAAAAATTTTAAAAAAGTGCTTCTGAATTCATAGTAGGTTTTGTTTTATTTTTGCCATTGTATACTTTCTCAATCAAGTGGCGGCAAACGTGTTGGGGTAGGGTCCACACCCCAGGAGCTCCTGCCTCTCTCTCCCCTTGACTGTTTCATGGGGTACCAGGCTCAACACACCCAGATGACACTCAGCCTCTCCCACCCCTGCTCCCCACACTGCACGCCCTGCTACCCCGAGGCCCAGGAACCCCGAGGATCAGCCTCCACCCCTCTTCCTCTTTGGCTCCCTGGTCACCATGTCCTGCCAGCTCTGCCTTGCACTGGGCTCTGGACTCTGCCCTGCTCTCCCTCTCCAGAGCCAACCCCCGATGCAGGCTGCTGGGGGTGTTCCTGCCGTAGCCTCCACTTGGCTTCCCCTCACCCCCTCCTGCTTTCCATCAGTCCACAGCTCCTCCGAAGGCCCCCTAGATGCTCTTCCTCTGCAGATCCTCCTGCCCTGCTCACCCCTCCGAGCTCCACCTAGAGTGTGTCTCTGAGTCTCTGCTGTGCCTCCCGCCCTACCCCACCCCCACCTCAAACACCTGTCCTTCCCCCTCCCTGCACTTAAGCAGCACCTCCTACAGGAAGCCTACCCTCCACCCCCAATATCCGCTGAGCTTCCACAGGCCTCAGCCTGGTCTCAACATGGTCTGTTTCTGTCTCTTGGCCTCCCCAGGGGCTGTGTGTCTCTAGCCCTCACCAGAACTAGGGTAAGGTAGCTGCAGACAGGGAATTGGGGAGGGATGGGGAGGGAGGAAGGGAGGAAGGAGGGAGGGAGGGAGGGAGGGAGGGACTGCCGTCAGCCTGTCCTTCCTGCTTCTTATCACTCAGTGCAGCGTGTCTATACTGGACCACCCCCTGCCCTTACCTGCAGCCACCCTCGCTGATCGAGTGGAACCCGGGCAGACAGCGGTCACACTTCCAGCCGGTCACAGAGGGCTTGCAGGCGCAGGTGCCTGTGTCATCACACTGGAGGTGTAGAGAGCCTGGGAGAGGAAGGACACAGGGCAGCAGAGGTTGGGAAGGGCGAGGGTCAGGGGCTGGGGTGGTGGGGCACACTCACCTGCTGAGTGGCAGTCGCAGGGCTGGCATGGCATCCGAGGGTCCCAGTGATAGAAATTCTCCTGGCAGCGTTCACAGTGTGGCCCAGCCGTGTGGTCACGGCAGTGGTGACAGCGCCCGCCGTGGCCCGTGCTTCGGAAAAGCTCCCGATCAAATGTGCATTCCTCTGAGCGGCCGCTACAGTTGCAGGCTGTGGGAAGGTGTGTGAGTCCCCTGTGATGTGGTAGGAGGGGACGTCTGTGCCAGTCAGCCTCCCTGTGCTGAATGAGCAGCAGTGCAAGGAAAAGGGCAAGAGCATGGTCCAGAATGGAGTTCAGGCCCAGCTTGATGAAGGCTACAGCGACTGATCAATTGATTTTCCAAAACAGGACACTCTTAAGAGCGAAGGGGACACCATCAGTAAATACACCAAAACAACAGGCAGAAAGAGGACCCTCCCAGGAAAAACCAGGATATACATCCAGATAGATGGGCACTGATCAGAGGCTGGGTGCCTTCTGGAGTGAGGAGCGTGGCTCACTCCAAAATCTCCTGGAGGTCCTCCAAGCCATAATCATAGTGTGAATCTCATGGTTGTGTGAGGTCACTCAGGTGTACAGAAAACACAAGGCACCTTTTATTTCCCTAGTAAATAATTTTTAAAAGTGTGTGCAGGACTGGCTCTGCCTTGGTTCCTAGAGCCCAGGGGTGGATCCATGAAAGGTGTGACCCATTTACACCTGCTGTCCTCATGCTGCCACAGGCCAGACGGCAGGCAAGCAAGCACACCCCCTGCTGGTGCAGGGCTGAGACAGGAGAGGCAGGGGGCTTCGGGAGGCGTAAGGAGGGGCCCCTGCGGCTGTGCTGGGGTGGTGGGACAAGGCTTCCCAGAGGAAGTCACGGCTGCGCTGAATCTGAAGGCTGAGCAGTGAGGAATAGGCCAGGCAAAGGCAGGGGGCGCGGGAAGGGTGTCACAGACAGAAGGCGGAAGCTCAGGGGCTACACCACGTCCAGAGACAGAAGCGTGGCCTGGTGCAGGCATGCCAGGAGACTGACTGCAGGCGGCATGTCATGTGATGGCAGGGACGGGGGACATCGTGTAGGGGCAGTTATGGAGTCAGAGGCTCTAAGAGCTTGCTCCAGGGAGGCTGGGCTGCCATGGTCAGTGGACGTTAGCTGGGAGCACAGGGGGAGCCGTGGGAGGGTTACGCAGGTGACAAACATTATTAAATTTGTCCTTTAGGAAGCCTCGGACCCGTGCCATGGCTCACGCCTGTAATCCCAGCACTTTGGGAGGTAAGGTAGGAGGACTACTCGAGCCCAGGAGTGAAAGACCAGCCTGGGCAACAGTGAGAGGCGATCTCTACCAAAAACTGCCCGGCACAGTGACGTGTGCCTGCCGTCTCAGCTACTCAGGAGGCTGAAGTGGGACGAACGCTTGCACCCAGGAGTTCCAGGCTGCAGCGAGCTATGATTGTGCCACTGCACTCCAGCCTAGGCGACAGAGTGACACCTGGTTTCAAGAAAATAGCCTCAGCTGCAGGTAGGGGAGGGCTGGGGACAGGGACAGCAGGGAAGAGGAAGCTTCAGGTGTGCAGGGAGAGAAGGCAGGGTCAGGCCCAAGGCGTTGGCTACACCAGACACAAGTTAGGCGGGCTGCAGTGCCGGGCGTGAGGCGGAATTCAGTGCCTGGGGCTGTCTCAGCTTCAGGTGAGGGTGCGGCTAAAGGGTCAAGCATGAAACCCTGGATCCCAGGCTGCTGACTGAGAGACACGGATGTGACCACGGGGCTGAGGACATGGTAGAAGCAGTCCGGCCTCTGTGTCCCCACCATGGAGACGGCAGCAGGCTGGGACGGTGGAAGCCAGCCAGTAAGCTTCCTTGGCCTCAGGTGGACTCCCTGGTGGAGGCAGGCCAGCGAGGGCAGCTCCTGCAGACAGCATCCCACCCTCAGAACAACTGTCCCCTCCCAGCTCCAGTTTTGGTCACCCGTGGCCCAGGCCCAAGAGGACAGCAGGGCATAGAGGCCAAGCTGCCTGCCTGGTGAGCCTGTGAGTGGAGATGTGGCTCCTGCCAGCAGCGTCAGCATGGATCTGGCACCCAGTGACAGCAGCTCTGCACGGAGTGCTAGAGGAAACCAGGCTGCCTGGGGACAGGGTGGGGCTTGCAGCTGGTACCCCAGCCAGAAAAGAAGGCAGTGGGTCCCTGCTGTTGGCCTGTGTCCCTGAAGAAGGCATGGTGGCATCATCCTCTCTCCAGCGCTTCTCTGAGGTTAGGTGGTCAAAGCCACATCACAAGGGGGCTGGGACACAAAGGGCTGCCTGGGGGCCCGTGGGAGAGGCCGGGTGGGCCGTCAGCAACCCTTGCTCGTGGGACAGCCTGGTTCTGATTAGCAGCTGGGTGGGAGCAGTTAACACAAAGAAGCAAGTCAGGGACCTTCTCAGCCTCCCACCACGGGTGCCTCTGCGGGGGTGGAGGTGGTCCAGGGAAGCGACTTGGTGGAGGAGGTACTGAGGCTTAAATGCAACCCCTGCAGGCTCCCCTTCATCTGGTCCTCATCTCTGCAGCAGCACAGAGACCCCAAGCTGCCTCCCAGGCACACCAGGAGCAGCCCCCACCGTGAGGTTTTGGGGGGAGTTCGTTCCCCAGCCTGAAACACCAGCCTTGGGTCCCCAATGCCCCATGACACTCACGCAGACACTCGTGGGCGGCCTCAGCGGTGCCCCGGGCCCACGGGCGGTCCTGGAAGAAGGGCAGGCAGCGCTCACAGTCCGTGCCGGTGGTGTTGTGCTGGCACTGGCAGGCCAGCTGGCCCGCGGCGTCGGGGCTACACTTGCTGGCATGCCCGTTGCACTTGCACCTGGGAAAAGACGTGGGAGGAAAAGGGATCCGCAGGTGCCAGCAGGGCAGAGGAGGGGTCAGTCACCGGGCAGCCCCTGTTTGCAGGTGTAACCCGATTCCACCCTCAATCTTGGCCTCACTGAACACCCACTATGTGCCCTGCGGGCAGCAGTAACAGAACTGACTGTGCTGGCGAGCTCTGTAACAAACCCACCCTGTCTTCACCAGCCTGTGACACCCCCATTTAATCGATGGGCAAACTGAGGCACAGAGAAGCTGCCCAAAGCCACCAGCTAGTAAGTGCCTGCCACAGAAAGCTTCTGCCTGGGAGGAGCCCCACCTGAGGCCTGAGAGAGACCCAAGAAGTCCCCTTACTCTCCCCAGTGGAGAGGGCGCCGGCAGTCACGGCGGCAACAGGTGTAGGGGCCAAGGGACCGCATCCAGCAGCTATCCCTCAACTGCGTCCCAAAGGGCAGGAAAGAGGGTACCCCAAACAGGGACAGCTCCTGACTCACTGCAAATCCCCCATGAGTCTGCATGTGATATGGTTTGGATCGGTGTCCCCACCAAACCTCACGCACGCTGTAATGCCGTGTGGGAGGTGGGGCCCGGTGGGAGGCGATCGGGTCATGAGGTTGGAATTCTCCTGAACGGTTTACACCCCCCACTCAGTACCGCAGTGAGTTCTCGTGGGGTCTGGCTGTTTAGAAGTGTGTGGCACCCACCCCTCCGCCCTGGCTCTCTCTCTTGCTCCTGCTCCCCCTTCACCTTCCACCATGACTGTACACTTCCTGAGGCCTCCCCAGAAGCCAGGCAGATGCCAGCACCATGATTCCTGCACAGCCTGTGGACTGTGAGCCAATTAAACCTCTTTTCTTAATAAATGACCGTCTCAGGTGTTTATGGCAGTGCAAGAATGGGCGAATACGGGGTCTTTGAGAGCAGCCCGGCCTGTGTCCCCATTCCACACACAGGGTCAGGAGACAGGTAGAATCAGGCAGGAACAGAGGTGCCCTGGGAACCCGTGGCCTACTCGGTGGAGCCTGACCCTGTAAGTGATTGTCCCTGTCCCGAGTGGTCGGGCCGAGCTGCTCAGAAGACAGCCACAGCTTCCGGTCCTGGCCAAGGCAATAGCTTCTGGCTAGAGCCTCGCTGGAGGCAGAAGGGACATTTGCATCCCTATTTCACACGTGAGAAATCAGGCTCAGGTCTTGGAACTGACATATCTAAGCAGCTGAGCTGGAACTGAAGCCCATCCTCGCCGACTCAGTGGACCCCAAGCTCCTAGACACTCCTCTGGGGCCACTCAGTGGCTCCCTTAAGCCCCGTTCCACGCTCTGCCCTCAGCAGGTGTTGACGAATTGCCGACCGCTGCCTGGGCTCCAGGTGCTTTAGCTGATATGGGGACAGAGTGTGTGGGAGGGCACGTGGCACAGCTTAGCTTCCTCACAGGGCCCAGGGAAGGCAGGCAGCACCCAGGGCTTCTTGGGGTGAGGCAGGTGCCAGGTAATCCTGGGGACAGTGGTCACCAGGGAAGCAACAAGGGCCTGCCCCTGTCTTGGAGGGGGTGCTGCAAGCACCCGTCCTATGAAACCCTCTGACCCAGGAAAGGAGAGTGAGACCCACAGGCTACACTGTGAACACGGGCTGTGGGGACCACCTGTCCCCCGCCATGAGCAGCCTCCCCAGCCAGCTGCGGCCTGAGGGTGGTCTGGTTCTGGAGCTCATGGCCACGGCCGCCATCCCCGGGGAGCTCCCCTCACTGACTCCCATAAGGGGCAGGTGGGAGCAGAGCGACCCTCGCGGCTGCACGGGCTCTCGGGTACCAGCCCTGGCCTTCCCTGGAGCTCACACACCCAAAGCAGGCACTTGGGCGTCTCGCTGGTCCCCCTGCCGTCTCTGTAATGCCGCCCAAGTGCCTCTGAACTGTGGACGCCCAGAGTCCGGGTCATCCCTGCTTCCGCTCCCACGGCTCATTGTTCACACACAGAGCTGCGTTCCCGTCCTCAGTCTCGTTCAGACCCCTGCTCCCCCATCCCTCGCCCCCGGGTCCAAGCAGCCGTCTCCCGCCCGATTCCTGACATTCGACTTCGTCTCTCCTCTTGTTCTCCCCACTTGGCTTTCAGGGCTTTGGGGTGTTTTAAAAATCAGACTCTGTTACTACCCTGGCCAAATCCTCCCACAACTTCCTCTTGGCTGCGGGGTGAGGCCAAACCACTGCAGGCCCCGACACTCTGCCAACCTCTGCATGCCCTCCCACCAGCCTGCCCTCCACCCAGCCCCACCGGCTGTCCCTGGTCCTCAGCCCCAGCCTTCCCACTCCCAGGTCCCACCTGCAGCGCCAGCTCCTGCCCTCCCCGACCCCAGGCATATGCTCCCCCTTTCCTCCCCTTCCTTGTCATCCTGGTGCGGGCTGATGCGTTTATTGGGGAGCAATCTGATCAGTGTCTGTCGTCCCCATGTGACTGGGGCAGGAACGCACCTGTTTTCCTCTCTCCAGTCAAAGAAACCTGAGAAACATTTACGTGGAAGACATTCGTGCCTCCTCGTCCCACAGCCCTCCCTGGGCACCCCGTCCCAGGTGGCCATGTGCAAGATGGGCCGTGGGACTTGAGGTGGGAGATGGGCCTCTACCCCCTGGGCAGCCCTTGCTTCCTGGAAGGGACAGAGGTGGAGGAGAGACAAATTGCCCAGGGCACTGACGGGTGCTGAGGGCGCATAGGACCAGGACCAGGGGCCACACAGGAGCGCCTTTCTGTAGGCCAGTAACATTCCTATACTAGAAAGGGGAAGGAGGCCAGGCGTGGTGGGTGGCTCACACCTGTAATCTCAGCACTTTGGAGGCCAAGGCAGGCAGATCACCTGAGGTCGGGAGTTCGAGACCAGCCTGACCAACATGAAGAAACCCTGTCTCTACTAAAAAAATACAAAATTAGCCAGGTGTGGGGTACATGCCTATAATCCCAGCTACTCAGGAGGCTGAGGCAGGAGAATTGCTTGAACCCAGGAGACAGAGGTTGTGGTGAGCCGAGATTGCACATTGCACTCCGGCCTGGGTAACAAGAGCAAAACTCTGTCTCAAAAAAAAAAAGAAAAGAAAGAAAGAAAGGAGAAGGGGCCTCCAGGCTGAGGGGACAACAGACACTAAGACCCAGTGTGTTGGCATGGCGAAGCAGTTGATGCGGGGGACCTGGCAGGAGGTGGGCTGGGAGGGGCCCCAGGGCCTGGAATGGCAGGTGATCCCCCCTGTCCCCTGGGGCACACCTGGCTTCTGTGCTCCCCCCACCTTCCCACAGCAGCCACCTTTTGCTCCTGGGTCTGGGTCCCGGAACCCTGCCTCCCTCCTCTGCCTACCTGCCGCCCACAGAGAAGTCGGACACGGCATAGTAGTAGGACTGGAGCACCCTGGGGTCCTTGAAGATGTCGTCCCCAAATGTGTTGAGCCGGTTGAGAGAGATGAGGAGCTCAGTGCTGGTGACCCACTCCTGGGGCAGAGGGGAGAGGGCACCATCAGCAGGTTCCCGAGCAGTTAGTGTTTACCCTGTCACTCTGCTGGCAGGTCCAGCTGGCTGCCCCGGGGGCTCCTAGGACACAGGGACGGGCCAAGCTCAAGCCAATTCTGAGAACGCTGTGGAAATAAGGAGGCTGTGCTCTGGGGGTCGCCCCAACCTGGGTGCTAGGCCATCGATTAGTGCAAGTCTGTTCAGTGTCTTAGAGCCTCCATTTTCCCATCTGAAATGGAACAAAAATGGTCCCTCCCTACAAAGGTGTCTGGAGGAGGGTGGCCAGTGTTAGCACTGGCTGCGGGGTCAGGCACATGGTCAGGAAGCAGCTGAGGTTCGGAGGACCAGGGGTCGAAGCGGCTCACTGAAGACCCCGTCATGCAAGTCACCTGGCTTTCCCCAGCAGCTCCTGTGCTCCATTCCGGGGATGCAGCTGGGGGATGGTGTGCCCAGCGACCTTCTCCCCCACTTAGTGGGGCCTGGCATGCAGCAGACCCTGGGTTTCTTGGCTTCTCACATGCTGAGGATCAGGCTCCTGTGGACAGGTCATCTGCCCCAGGTGACATCACTTCCACGAGAGTAGAGACTTGGGGCCTGTTGCTCTCGCTGCTTCCGCAGCGCTGGGCTCTGCCTGGCCCTCACAGGCACTCGATAAATACCTGCTGATCCCTGAATGAGCAGCTTCCCCATGGAAGAGCGTGGCGGGGAAGTCGGGGAAAACCCACGTGCAGACTGACATTTTCATCTGCCTGCTGTTATCATCAGCGGCAGCTCCAGCTGAATATTAATCAGCGTTTCGATTCTGCCCAGGAGCCCCTGCTTTAGCAATCAGGCCCATCAGTACAGAAAATGAGTTCCTGGCAGGGGACGGCCTCAGGCCGGTGGGCCCCTCCTGCTCCCCCAGAGCTCGGCAACTACAGCCACTGCCGGGGACCCAGGGCCCTGCCGGAGGATGCCTCGGCCTGAGAGAGGGATCCAGGACCTGAAAGCTACAGTGGGAGCCTCTACACCAGGCTAAGCTTGTGTTTGAGTTGGCAGGCCCGGGTGACCCCAGCATGCATTTCCCAAAGGCCAGCGTGCATGCAGGGACCTGGTGAAAGTGCAGCTTCTGACTCAGAGGTCAGCGGTGGGGCCGGGAGCTTGCGTTGCTAACAAGTGCCCGGGTACTGATGCTGCTGGACCTGCTGCGGGAGCAAGGCGCTAAGGCCTGGGGCGGAGGAAGCTCCGAAGTCCAGAGCTGAAGGCACTGCAACTCTTCCTTCTCCAGAAAAAAGCATCACCTGGAGAACTCAAACCAATGATCATCAGAGCTGTGGGGTGTGGCGGCAGCTGACGCGTATTGTGTGGTTAGGGCTCAGGCCTCAGTCACCCTGCAGCAGACATTGTTATTACCCCCATTTGCAGATGAGGAGACTGAGGCTCAGCATTCTGTTCCAAGTTGCACAGCCAGTGCATGGTAGAGCCGGGATTCTGGTCCATCTGATCCCAGGGTCCCAGCTTTACCACCACGCCGGTCTGCCTTCCTGTGTCTACTCCAACGCCCTCACACATCCCTGTGGGACCCCGAGATGGCAATGACCTGCTCAAGGTCTCCCACCTCTGCTTTCTGGCCTGGGACCCGAGCCATCAGTCTGCAAGGACAATGGTTGTAAAGGAACAGGGTCAAAATCTCTGAGACACAGGATGGATGCTGGGAGAGAGAAGCCCTAGGCTAAATTGCAGGGGGCTCGCCTTGATGCCTTAAAGCTCATTTTAGGGCCGGGTGTGGTGGCTCACGCCTGTAATCCCAGCACTTTGGGAGGCCGAGGCAGGAGGACCACTTGAGACCAGCCTGGGCAACATGGCGAAACCCTGTCTCTACTGAAAATACAACAATCAGCCAGTGTGGTGATGCTCACCTGCAACCCCAGCTACTTGGGAGGCTGAGGACGAGAATCGCTTGAACCTGGGAGGCAGAGGTTGCAGCGAGCCAAGATCGCGCCACTGCACTCCAGACTGGGTGACAGAGTGAAACTGTCTGAAAAAGTCATTTTAGGGCTGAACCCAGGCACTGGAATTTTGCAACCTGTAATGGCTCCAGCTTAAGCTACGAGTGTGTGCTGGAGTTGATTTCGGATGGATCCCGGGACCCAGGCCGTAGCATTAAGGAGAAGCAGGAGGTGGGAAGCTTGGGCCCTATGTCCAAGGGGTACTCGGGCGGCCGTTCAGCTCCAGGGGTCTGACTCTGCCACAGCCGGGTCGGCCTTCCCCTCCAAAGTCCTAGGCCCCTCCGTGGGGGTCAGAGGGACCCAAGACCCATCAGCCACATCCTTCCTTCCACACTCCATGTCCTTTGAGAAAGCACCTGCCCCCTAAATGTGACCAGAGGGAGCTTGAGGGGAAAAGGCAGACTTGCCTCTTTGTCCTTCTCTGCTGGTTTCTGTCCAGAAGCAGCAGGGAAGACATTTCTCAAAAGGTCATCTCTCCATCAGGGACAGTGTACAGAACACACAAGGCAACAGACAGAAAACCTCCAACGGCCAAGGGTCTCCCCAGAGTGGTGGCCACACAGAGCAGGTGGGAGCGGGCCGGCCCTCGCTGCCTGTCCTCATCAGCCCTCAGCTGACGCTCCCGCCCTCCATCTCTTTCTTTCTTCCTCTCTTGCTCTTTCTCACTTTCTTTCGAGAGGGAGTTTCGCTCTTGCTGCCCAGGCTGGAGTGCAATGATACGATCTCAGCTCACTGCAACCTCCACCTCCTGGGTTCAAGCGATTCTCCTGCCTCAGCCTCCCGAGTAGCTGGGATTACAGGTGCACACCACCGTGCCCGGCTAATTTTGTATTTTTAGTAAAGACGGGGGTTTCTCCATGTTGGTCAGGTTGGTCTCGAACTCCCGACCTCAGCCTCGCTGGGCTTACAGGTGTGAGCCACCGCCCCTGGCCTCGGCTGACGTGTTCTAATCTACAGAGCTTTGGAGCCTGGTGGAGAAGAAACGGTAATTTTAAACAATCATGATGACATGTGTACATTTTTAGTGTGATGAGCAGGGTCTGGACGTCTGGAGATGTGGCTCTGTGTGATAAAGGATTCAGCTCACCCAAAGAGGGGCCTGGCCCTTTGCCCTGGGTCCTGGGGACATGAAAGTATCCCGGTAGCCTTTCATTGCAAAACATCGCAGCTCGGAGCCTCGCAGCTCTTCTGAGTTCCATGGGTCCTTATAGCGAATCACTAAACCCAAGGGTGGTCCTGGGAACCCTGAGACGGCGACTCCACATGTTTTTGTGCCACCTATCGCCAGCGGGACACAACTTCTTTTTGGGTCTCAGTGTCCCTTCTGGAAACAGGATTCTCACCCTGGTTCCTTTGTTATCCCAGATGGACAAACGAGACGCTCTGGAAGTCTGGAGGGGAGGAGAGGGCAGGTTCCCTGGGCTCAGACAGATCTCGGGTCTGAACCCAGGGAAATGAGCAGTGGTCTCCAACCCTTTCAGCACCAGGGACGGGCTTCGTGGAAGACAATTTTCCCACGAATGGGGTAAGTGGTGGTTTAGGAATGAAAGTGATCCACCTCAGACCATCAAGTGTTATAGATTCTCATGAGGAGTGCGTACCCAGTTGCTTCTAGAAGAATCTAACACGGCTGTGGCTGATCTGACAGGAGGCGGAGCTCAGGCGGGAATGCTCACCTGCCTGCCTGAGGCTCACCGCCTACCGTGTGGCTCGGCTCCTGATAGGCCATGGACAAGGACCCATCTGCAGCCAGGGGTTGGGGACCTGTGGACTAGAGAGCCGCCCAACACACCTGCGTGTAGATGAACAGCTGTGGACACACAGCAACGTGGACACAGATGGGTGCGGATACCAGCAGGTCCCCACACCTGGGCGGACCCACGTGGGCGGAACTGGAGGGCCCTGAACAGACCGACATGGCTGCAGGCCTGCCGCCCTCTCTACCACGAGGACAGGGACGGGAGCTGTCGTGCACGGTATCTCCACAGTATGGGTGGGCACACTCTCCGTGCCAAGCGCCGCACTGGTCGGGGTGTGTGCATTCCCGCTACCCCACAGCCGCCTCTCCAAAGGGGCCCCCACTGGCCACATGTGGCTATCTAAAAAATTAAATATAAAATCCAGTTCCTCAGCTGTGCTGGCCACATTTCATGGTGGCTCCTGGCACCCTGTGGGACAGTGCAGCTAGAGGCGCTGTCTGCCATCACAGAAAGTGCTGCTGGCTGGCGCGGCCTTACAGCGGGGAACCCAGGGCTCTGTGACCCCAAAGCCCATGTTCCTGTCACGTTTTTCCATTTTCATAGGAGCTGTTGGAGACACACAGGCAGGCCCTGTTATTAACTTACAGGAGGAGGAAGAGAGGCCCGGCGGCAGAAAGTTCCAGAAAGAACACCAGTCAGAAGCCTGGACACTCAGGTGCTGGCCTGGGCCCCTCCACTGCCTCATCTGTGCCCCTGGAAAATGCCATCCCCTCTAGGCCTCAGCTTCCATTCCTTTATAAGGAAGGGGCTGAGTGGGTTGGCGGTCCTCACAGGCTCCCGGAAGCCACAGGGCTCTGTCCCAGGAGGCCAGAGAAGGGACAGCTATGGTCCACTGAGCGGCCCTTCTCCCACCTGGTTCATTAGCAGCATCCGCAAGACTCAGGTGTGGCAAAGGCTTCTGAGGCAGAAAGCTTGAACACCATGGGCTTTGCGGCCGAGTGCAGTGGCTCACGCCTGTAATCCCAGCACTGGGAGGCCGAGGCAGGTGAATCACTGAAAGTCAGGAGTTCAAGACCAGCCTGGCCAACATGGTGGAAACCCCCGTCTCTACTAAAAATACGAAAAGCAATTAGCCAGGCGTGGTGGCAGGCACCTGTAATCCCAGTTACTTGGGAGGCTGAGGCAGAATCGCTTGAACCCAGGAGGCGGAGGTTTCAGTGAACCGAGATCACGCCACTGCACTCCAGCCTGGACAGCAGAGCAAGACTCAGTCTCAAAAAAAAAAAAGGAAAACCATGGGGTTCTGCAGGCTCTTCACCCCGTGTCCTGGCACACCAGACCCTCCTGCTGTGACCCAGTCCCAACCCCATCCCGACCCTGCAACCCCCCTCTCTGACCTGCAGCCCAGGGCTCTCTTCGAAGTTGTAGGCGCCGGGCCGGCCCTCCAGGGTGGAGAAGGCCACGTTGCCCCCACTCAGCGGGGAGATGTCACTGAACTCGGAGGTGCAGAAGGCCACACGCTCGTCCTCGCCGGGGCGCAGGTACTGGCCCTCGGGCCGGCTGTAGGTCTTCTGGCACGAGGCGCTGTAGAACTGGTAGGGCTCCCACGGGCTGTCCGCTCGGCTGCGCTTGTAGATGGCGAAGCTCTCGGGGCGACTGGTGTGGAACTTCAGCCTCACGTAGGTGATCTCGTAAGCCTTCCCTGCAGCCAGGAAGATGTGGGCTCATTTTCATGGAAGGGGAGGGAGAAATGGAGTCCCGGTCTGGGGCAGCAGATGGCTGCATTGCAGGCACTAGTTGGCAGCTGTCTGGAGCTCTGGACAGAGCATGCCACCATCCATTCCTGATGCCTGGTGGGGCACTGGAGAGGACAACGCCACATGCTTCCCAAGTATTTGCTGTCCCTTTTCTGGGTCACCTCGCTGCCCTGCACAGGAATCTCCATTGTAACACCCTGACAGGCAGCCAGCTCTTTTTGCTCAAATATCTCCAGCAAAGGGAAATTGCCACATTCTGAGAAAGACTGCTCTACCGTTAGAAGGTTATTTCTTTTACTATACCCCCAAAAAGCCGATCCGTCCACTGTGCCTTCAGCCACATTCCCTGGCAATGACTACAGACCTTGTAATCCTAACGAAATCCTCCCCGGACCCCTTATTCCTCCAAGTTTCTGTCTTCCTCCTGTTCCAAATTTCCCATGAGAAGTCTAAATCACTGCCCCACAGCCTCATCTCCCAACTCAGCCTTCAACCTACTGCAGCTCAGCTTCTCTGGGCCACTCCACAGAAGACACTGCACTTGCAAAGTTGCCTCACCCGCAGCCCCCTGTGGCCACAGCAAGGGGCCCCCGTCTCGCCTCATCTCTTGGGTCTCCCCACCACCTCGGAAGCCGCGTGTCCCAGGGCCTGCACCCGCTCTCCTGTCTATTGCCTGCCTCGGCCCCCTCCTGAGCCCTCTGCTTGCTCCCTAAACTCTCAGTGTCTTCTCCCTTCCCTGGGCTCTAGCCCCACCCCCCGACCTGCCCCCGACACCCAGATGGGGGATCTACAGGCTTTAGGCACCTGCCTGCTCTCCACTCCACCCTAGAAGCGCCCACAACAGTCGGCCTGGCTCCACCGTCCCCATGACTCAGCTACCCTAGGAAGAATGGCTGTGGTAGAGGGAAGGGGGTTCCTAATTCCCCCTCTTCCCTCATGGGATGTCGACAGGCAATGCCCAAGAAGAGGAAAACCCCGACGCGGCAGTGAGCCCAGGGCTGGGAGATAAAAAGCATCAGGGAACAGAAGCAGCTCAGACAGCGCAGGGTGGAGAGGGGGGCTGGGGTGCGGGTGTGGGAGAACCGCCGCCTTTCACAGTTGGAGCTGGGAAGTATCTGGCTTCTACGCTGAGTGCGGGTATGCTTTCAACAATATGAAGGAAGTACAGCCTGAATTTAAAAAGGCAATTGCCCACTGCTTGAAATGCCACCATCTCCCCGCATCCCCCAAGTTTAGGACTCCATCCACATACCCCCTCCTCTCAGAAGCCCAACTCAACCTTACGCCCTAATCCCACAGCCCTGACATCCCCTGAAGCCAGAGGAGGGGGTCTCCTGCAATGTGACCCCATAACTAGCCTCTGCAGAGTTACCTGCTGAGCGCTGGGCTCCCCACGCTAGATGGAGTTCCTCACTGCCAGCACCGGTGTCTCTCCTGTAATCTCTGCACCCCAGTGCCTAGCTATGTGCCTGATTCCTGGCAGGCATTCACTGAGTGTTGGTGCAGGAACGAATGAAGGAAGGGAAGAACGGCCCACACAGGGAGCCCCTCCTGCGTGTCTGCTGCTCGAAGTAGCCTCTCACTCTCTGGAGCAGCACAGAACATGCCCAGTTCCCTCCCCATGGGCGACTTTCTCCTCTCTGATCCTTCCATAGCCTGGTCCCAGAGGCCCCCAGGAGGCTGCCTGCTGCCGCCACCATCTTCTTTAGGTGCCGAGGACAAGCCACTCTAGTCCTCTGGGGAAACATCTTGGCTCTAGGTAAGAGCTAAAAACCTGGGCACGGTGGCCATGCCTGTAATTCCAGCACTTTGGGAGGCCAAGGCGGGTGGATTACCTGAGGTTGGGAGTTCGAGACCAGCCTGACCAACATGGTGAAACCCTGTCTCTACTAAAAATACAAAAATTAGCCAGGCATGGTGGTGGATGCCTGTAATCCCACCTACTTGGGAGGCTGAAGGCAGGAGAATCGCTTGAACCCGGGAGGTGGAGGTTTCAGTGAGCCGAGATCGCACCACTGCGCTCCAGAAAACAGGAGTAAATCTTTGGGACTTTGCGTTAGAAGAGCCTTCTTAGAAATGACACCAAAAGCACATGTGACAAAAGAAAAAACAGATAAGCTGGACTTAATCAGAGCCTCTGTTCTTCAAAGAACATCACTGAGGAAATGAAAAGGCAACCCATAGAGTGGGAGAAAATAGTTGCAAATCACATATCTGATAAGGGACGTATCCAGAATACATAAAGCATTCTTATAACTCAATAATAAAAAGACAACCCAATTAAAAACGGGCAAAGGGGGAGTAGGTTGCCTGAGTCCAGGAGTTTGCCACCAGCCTGGGCAATATGGTAAAAGCCCATCTCTACAAAAAATTTTTAAAAATGAGCCAAGCATGGTCGCCTGTCCTCCAAGCTACTTGGGAGGCTGAGGTGGGAGGATTAATTGAGGCCAGGAGGTGGAGGCTGCAGTGAGCCATGATCACACCACTGCACTCCAGCCTGGGCACCAGAGCGACACTCTGTCTCGAAAAAGAAAAAATTAAAACAGCAAAGCTTTTGAATAGCTATTTCTCCAAAGTGGATATATGAATGGCCAAGAAACACAAGAAAAAATACTTCATACCATTGGCCAGCAGGGAAATGCAAGTCAAAACCATAATGAGATCCTCTTCACGCCCATTCAGCTGGCTGGAGTCAACATAGATAATAACAAGCGTTGGTGAGGAGGTAGGGGGATTAGAACCCTCATACACTGCCGATGGGAATATAAAATGGGGCAGCCACTTTGGAAAACAGCCCAGCAGTTCCTCAGAATGTTAGACACACGGTTATCACAGGACCCAGCAGTTCCACTCCTCAGCACATATCAAGAGAAATGAAAACATTGAACATCCATCCACACAAAACGTAGACATGGATGTTCACAGCAGCATTGCTTTGTAGCCGCCAAGGCGTGGAAGCAACTCCAGTGCCCACCAACTGGTGCGTGAATCGATAAAACGTGGCCAATCATATGATGGCATAGGATTGGGCCACAAGAAGCAGCGAAGCACTGACACACGCAACCACAAGAATGAACCACGAGAACATTCTGCTAAGCGACAGAAGCTAATCACCAAAGACCACGTATGACGGGATTTCACGTCCATGTCCAGAACAGGCAAATCCACAGATAGGAAGGAGACAGGTAGTTGTCGCAGGATAGAGGTTCAGGATGGGGACTGGGAAGGAACAGAGAGTGACTGCTAATAGGTGCAGGGTAATAAAGGTGTTTCCAGCCAGGGCCAGTGGCTCACGCCTGTCATCCCAGCAGCTTGGGAGGCTGAGGCTGGAGGATCGCTTGAGCCCAGGAGTTTGAGACCAGCTTGGGTAACATATGGAGATCCTGTCTCTTAAAAAAAAAAAAAAGAAGAAGAAGAAGAAAAAATTAAAAACTGAGCTGAGTGTGGTGGCTTGCGTATGTAATCCCAGCTACTTGAGAGGCTGAGGTGGGAGGATGGCTTGAGCCCAGGAGGTAGGGGCTGCAGTGAGCTGTGATCGTGCCACTGCACTCCGGCCTGGGCAACAGAGAGAGACCCTGCCTCTGCACCCCCCAAAGAAAGATATTCTAAATTGACTGCGCTGATGAGTGCAAAACTCCGTATATATACTAAAAACCACTGGATTGTGTACTTGAAATGGGTAAGTTGTATGGTATGTGAATTTTAGCTCCTAAAGCTGTTATATATATTATGTATGTTATTGTGGTGTTATGATAGATACCAGTTTTCAGGCCAGGCTTGGTGGCTCACACCTGTAATCCTAGCATTTGGGAGGCCGAGGTGGGAGGATCACTTGAGCCCAGGGGTTCGAGACCAGCCTGGGCAACATAGTGAGACCTTGTCTCTAACAACAAAAAAAATACATATATATGTGTATTTTCATCCACAGCTCCTGCCTCATGACCCCCAAAGCCTCTTTATGATCTTTTGTGAGAATTTTGGGGGTGTTGGGCCTCGGGGTCGGGCCTCTGCCCTCTCCTGTCCTCCTTTCTCTCTGAAGTTGCCCCACATTTCTGCCTGAGGGTCTTAAGACCCTCAAAGACAGGATCCCACCCTACACCCGGGGGAAGCAATGCTGATGCATGAAGCTTCCATAAAAACCCAAGGACAGGGTTCGGGAGCTTCTGGATGGCTGAACACGGGGCGGTTCCTGAAAGGTTTCATCCAGGGAGGACACGGAAGCTACCGCCCCTTCACCGTTCCTCACCCTGCTCCTCTCTTCATCTGTGTCCTTTGCAATGTTCTTTACAATAAACCGGTCAATGTGTTACCCTGAGTCTGTGAGCTGCTCCAGCAAATTGACTGAACCCAAGGAGGGGGTCGTGGGAAGTCAAAGCTAGTCAGTCCGAAGTTTCTAAGGCCTGGACTTGTGACTGGGGTGTGTGGCGGAAGACAGTCTTGGGGACTGAGCCCTCAACCTGGGGGATGGGATGCTACCTCTGAGTAGATTGTGCTGGAACTGAATTAGAGGACACCGACTGCTACCGCTGCTTGTTATGTGGGGGGAAAAGCCACGCATTTGGTCCTAGAAGTCTTCTGTGTTGATGATGGTTGTGGTCTGAGAGCAGAGGAAAAACACAGTTTAAGAGATTTTCCCTACACAGTTATCTATGTGTATAATTGGACCTCACATCCATTAGGATGGCTACTATCAAAAAAACGGAGAATAACAAGTGTTGGGAAGGAGGTGGAGAAACGAACCCTCGTGCTCTATTGGTGGGAATGTGAAATGGTGCAGCCATTACGGAAAACTGGCGGTTGGTTCCTGAGAAACTGAAAACCATGCATCAGTTTGACAGCCCTGGAGCAGTTACTGTCTGCTAAAGTTCCCACTACACATGCAAAACCGCGCCCCGAGCTTTCCCTCTGCTTTCTGTGGCAGCCGAGATTGAATAGAGGGATACAG